GCTAACAGCTGTCCATAACTCCAGTTCCAGGGGATCTGACAGCCTCCTCTGTCCTCCGGGCATTGTACAACACAGGTGCACTTAACCTACATGCAGGCAATACACACATACACATAAAATAAAAATAATAAATATTAAAAAAATAAACTTTGTATTTTATGTGTTAGTATTGTATGTGTATACGTGTTTTGCCTTCATGTATGTAAGTACACCATGTGTGTGCAGCACCTGTGGAGGCAGAAAAGAGTGTTGAATCCCCTAGAACTGGAGTTGTGGACAACTGTTAGGTGCCACGTAGGTACTGGGAACCGAACCCAGGTCCTCTGGAAGAGCCAACAGTATTTTTAACCACGGAGCCATCTCCAGCCCCCTTGATGCTGTTTTTAAAAGCTTCCTTTTCAGTTGTCTCTGCTGAACTGATGTAATGCACACTCATACTATCAAACAAATGAGCAAAGTAGAATCACTTGGAAATGATGAAAACAACAAATTTATGTTACTTTTGTTTGGGGGCTTTTGTGTTTTTGAGACAGGGTCTCCCTGTAACCCCAACTGGCCTGACATTTGCTATGTAGACCAGACTGGCCTCCATCTTACAGAAGGAGGCCTGCCTTTGTGTCCTGAGTGCTGGATTAAAGGCGCACGCCACCACTCCTGACTTATGTTACCTATATTTTAATCACAATTGGAAAAACAGAATTACATTGAAAGTTGCTTGAACCGACATGTATGGAGCAAGATGCTCTAGGTCTAGTGTAAGGTCTGGGCATGCATACTTTGGAGAAGCTGTCTGGTGCTACTGATGTGTACTCCTTTGGGATATTAAGCGGCTCATGCTGTTCGATGAGCAATTAACTATGAAATGTCTTCTGTGATTAATTTGTCATTGCTTTGCATTTATCTTGAACAGTTAATAATAACTGCCATCTAACACATTTATTGATTACCTATTAGGTATCTAAACATAGAAGATATAGGAGTGCTCAAAATAGTAAAAGAAAAATCTATGCTCAAGAAGTTTACATTCTAGTAGAGGAATAAATAATGTATGCCACATTAGTGGGTGATGAATGTCATGAAAGGAACTGACTGTAGATAGGAGAAATGAAGTTATTCTATATGATGTCATTTTAGCCTCTCTGATATAACATTTGAATAGAATCATGAGCAGATTGAGCTCTGTAGATAGATGGGAAGAGCCTTCTAGGCAGGGGGAAAACAGCATAGGCTTTGAGGCTTGGAATTGCTTGGCAGGTTCAAGGCTTGGCAGATCAGTTAGAAGGCTGTTGTATAGGTCATCTGCAAGACTGTAAAGAAAAACAAAAGGTGACATTTAATTTGAGACTTTGTTTCAAAATTTCTTTCAGAAGGATATCTGTAAAATTTGTAGTAGTTAGAAATCAAGGCTATTGTCCTTCAGCCAAGGTAACAATATGTGAAATAGAGGTGGTGAAGAGTAGTTGGACTTTGGATGTTTTGGAAAGAGAGCTGATAAGATGTGTGTTCCACAAAGAGAACTTTAACATGCTCTTCTCTTTCCCATTTTACCAGCATGGTACCTAGACATAGTCTACTGTCTGTTTGGTTTTGCTGATCTTGGCATTTTTGTGTTTGGATCTCCCCAGCAGAAATGATCATCTCTGAAAGATGAGATAAAAGCACAAATCACCCCAATTCCTGTCTACTACAAATTTTACATATGTTCTTCTAAAAGAAAGTTTCAAATAAAATCCTAAATGTCACTTTTTTTTTTTTTTTTTTTAAAGACAGCATTGCTCTCTAACTCCAGCTGGCTTGAAACTCCCTTTGTACACCAAGCTGGCCTCATGTCCCAGAGATCCACCTGCCTCTGCTTCCCAGGTGTGGGATCAAAGGCATGCACCACCAACCATGCCCAGCTAAATGCTATCTTTAAACAAAAAACAAAAACATCCAGAGGTATGCACAGTTAGTTTATGAGCAAAGATTATTTTTAAGCCCTTAATAGCACTTTAAAGAGGTAAATAATAAGTCATCTGGCATGAACCTTTGGCAATGGTCAGGCCCCCTTACCTTTACCAAGACTAAAATAAGGTAGAATAATGATAAAAATATTGAACAATAAATGATGGAGTCAGGCATTCTGCCTGGTACCTGGGGAGATCTGAGGAGTCTGTGGCAGTAGGCTTATGTACTTCTGGTTCTTGGATTTCTGTGTACTGCGTGCACTTATTTTGAGCCATTAGGAAAAACGATCCCACTTGCAAAGCATTCCTTCTTTGGGTTGATAATATAAATAGTACCATAAAGCAGCATCCCCAAATTTCATTGTGTAGTCATAGTGTAGATTTTGTGTCTTCTGCTAGGCTTTTTAAAAAAAATGTATAATGTAGAACAGATACAATCATACACTATTTGGAATGGGTATAAAATTCTGTAAAGCAGCCAAGTGGGAAAGACAGGAATTGAGAAAGATTAAGTGATATTGTAGTACTTTGTTGTATTTTTTAATGTTGACATAGATTTATATAAAATATTTTATTAAAATACCTGCATAAAACCACAGTTTGTGTAGTAAAGAATGACCAGTAGTTCTTATTACAGGAACTTGTAAGAAAACATAGAGATTTCTATCCTATTGTTGGAGTAGGAGATACGTAAATGAAGTTTTATATATATGTGAGCAAAACCAGACATGGAATCTGCTCCCTGGCCTAGCTAGCTAGTCAAATGGGGAAAAGAGTGAGGGAGTTCAAATGTGTAAAGTAAGTCCGATGCTGGTAAGTGCAGTGAAGATGGTGGATTAGTGACATAGTCACGGTGTGGGTCAGGATGTCGGAACAGAGGGCAATGTAAAAAAATTAGAGGATTTCTGAAGTCCCTGAAGCCTTCCTAGAGGAGATTAAGTGCCCTTGGACCTGGCTCCACTAGGGAGAAAGAGGGTGATATAGACAATGTTACTTCAACCTTCTCTCAAATTGCTATGTAAACACATTTTACCTCTCTTCCTCCTGAAGCCAGATGGAGTAGTTTCCCATTCTTCTAGAACTAATACTTCTCTGTTGCTCTATGACTTTGGAAAGAAGAGGCCCAAAAGGTTGGTAGGATGAAACTTACCAGCTCTAGGGAAAAGAAGCACAAATCAAGCCTGTCAAAAGGAAGGAGGAGGCAGAGATGACAGAGCACTTGGCTTCTGGCATGAAGGTGCCAAAAAGGAGTCATAAAAACCACACCTTTTCAGGACTGGAGAAATGGCTTCTCTTGCAGAGGACCCTGGTTCCTTTCTTACACCCACAACCATCCATAACTCCAGTTACAGAGGATCCAGCGCCCTCTTCTGACCTCCGTTGGCATTGCATCACACAGGTTGGCATTGCA